TCAAGGCTTCAGCTCCATTATCCGATTGAACTCCCCATCAAACACATCGGTGAAATTTCACTTTCACCTCTCTGGGTACCCTGAGGCGGCGACTTCGGGTCTTGCTGGCGTTGGTGTGGCCCTCAGTGAGAGAGCTGAAGCCGCGCTTCTGGACCGGATCCCAGTGGATAGTAGGTTGTGCGCAATGAAACTTAGGGGTTCGTGTAAAGTAAACAATCGTCGCCCCGAGAGACGAAACCTGTTTGTCCTGTCGGCTTACTCCCCAACGGACTGTAGCCCAGATGCACTCAAAGATGAATTTTATCATAGCCTACACGACCTCTTACGTAAAGCGAGTCGGGTTGATATTGTGATTTTAACAGGAGACATGAATGCTAGAGTAGGCCAACTGACTTCGAGTGAGACGCATCTGGGTGGTCCTTTCGGACTAGATTCCTGTCGTTCGGAAAATGGGGAACGGTTGTTGGCTCTCTGTTCCGACCAGTACCTATTCGTCGCCAGTACGAACTTCAGACGCTCCAGCTGCCGGTACGCCACTTGGCGTCCGCTCTCCTCGAGTCAGATACGGACGCAGATCGACCACATCGCTATAAGCTACAAATGGCGGGGTCGTATACAAGACTGCCGACAGTACTGGAGCACCCCCTCAAATCCGACCACGCGTTAGTTTGCGCCAAGCTGTCCATGTGCTTCAGTGGGCGTTCCAAACGCTTGACGCATAGACGGTTAGACTATGACCAGTTGTCTGAACCAGCACGCCTAACTGTCTTTCAGAACGCGCTAGCTGAAAAGCTAGAATCAGCCCCACTCGATGGCGTTAACCAGCACTGGTCGCTTATCAAGAATGCTCTGCATTCTGCTGGCTTAGTTGTGGTCTGACACATCGTGCCGTGATACCCTGGATTTCTGCGGAATCTCTACGGCTTCTCGACGCACGCCGATCAATCCCGACCAGCAGCGAGCATAATGAAATACGACGAGCGACAAGTCGTAACCTCAACGTAAGCCTACTCGGAAACCGCGAGATCTGGTGGACTAAACGCGCGTCAGAGATGGAACGTGCTGCCGCCATGGGAAATTCCCGTAAGCTGTTTCATCTCATCCGGGTCACCGGTAGGAAAGCCTTAGATGTGAGCGAAACAATCTGCGAAGCTGACGGTTCGCCCATTCACAGTCGACAACGACGTCTTGAACGCTGGGCGGAGCACTTCGAAGCGCAGTTTAGCTGGCCACCAGCGTCAGCTCCTCACACAGCTATTCCGGCACACGTCCCATGGTCTGTCACAATAGACCCACCTTCTGAGACGGAAATCCGCAAGGAGATCCAAGCCTTGGGTCGTCACGAAGCGCCGGGCTCCGATGGCCTTCCCCCTGCTCTATTTAAAGATGGTGGATTAAAGCCTGTTAGAGAACTCCACGTCCTGTTCTCCAAAGTGTGGAACACTGAGCAAGTCCCCTCGTGGGTGGAATCGATTGTTGTCCCCATTTTCAAAAAGGGCCCGCGTAATGACTGCGCCAATCACAGAGGTATAAGCCTAATCCCGATAGCGTCGAAGCTGTTGGCGTCCGTCATTCTCCGCCGATTGTACACTACGCGTGAAGAGCAGACCTGTGAGTAGCAGGCTGGGTTTCGCGCTGGTCGTGGATGCATCGATCAAATCTTCACTCTCTGACAGTTGCTAGAGCACCGCCATGCCCACCAAAGGCCAACGGCCATTGTATTCTTAGACATTCGCGCGGCCTTCGACTCTGTCGATAGGACCGCACTATGGAACTGTTTGTTGAGGAATGAAGTACCTGAGAAGTATGCGTCGATCCTCAAAGAGTTGTATCGTCATACATCAGGTCGGGTTAGGGCCTATGACCAGCTTTCGCCACCCTTCGCCTTCTCCAGTGGAGTTCGACAAGGCTGCTCTGTTTCCTCATTCCTTTTCAACTTTGTCGTAGGGGATGTTCTACAGAATGCTTTGTCCGGTCTAGCAAACGGTGGAGTCGAACTCCTTCCAGGGAATAGAGTTCTTGATTTGGAGTATGCCGATGACATCGCCTTGCTAGGTGACAACACAGGCAGTCCAACAGGCTTTGAACCGCTTGGCGATCGAGGTAGTCAGATATGGTATGTGCTTTGCACCTTCTAAGTGCAAAGTGCTGGTTCAAGACTGGCAGAAGCCTGTGCTTGCACTCACCCTTTATGGTGATCAGCTAGAAGTAGTTGAGAAGTACCTCGGGAGCTTGATTGCATCTGGTGATGGTGTTGGGGACGAGATAACATCACAAATGGCGAGAGCTAGAGTAGCTTTCGCCAACCTACGACACCTGTGGCTCCGCCATGACATCCGACTCTCCCTTAAGTGAAAGGTGTACATCGCTGCAGTTCGTAGTGTTCTGCTTTACGGTTGCCAGACCTGGCCCCTCCGAGCGGAGGATGCTAATCG